GTGAATCCTCACGGCCTTCAGGGCTCCCGAGAGATGAAGTTCTTGCTGGGGTTTAGTCACAGGTTATTTATTGTTCCTACTTGGAGAAGATGGACTTACCATGGGGGGTCTGCTGCATGACTCTGCTTTTCCTAGAAGGCCTGGGGCGATGTAGTTGAGGACAGTGGCTTTGAGGTAAAAGCTGGCAGTTGTGTGTCCCCCCAGGCCCTGAGCATTAGTCCCTCTTAGGTTGGCGTCCTGGGGTTAGAAGGGGGCTGAAAACACCTCTTCGGTGATTAGCATGGTGCAGCACTGACTCAGAGTTGTGGCTTTCTTTGGCTTCTTTCTCCCTATCTTTATTTTTTCTCTGTTATCTCAAACCCAGCCAGACAGCAGACTTGCGTAGCTCCTGGTGGGTGATTTGTGTCTCAGACAATGATGGCCGAGCCACAGGGGCAGATGACAGCCACCTCCCACCAGGAGACTGGCACCTTTTAGGGAGTCCTGGGGGCATTCCTGACATCCAAGTGTGTCTTGGGGCTGTGTGAGCAACAGCAGAGCGATTCCTGGTCAAATGCAAAGCCTGGTGCCTCTACAAAGCTGAGCTGAGGATCACTTTGGGATCCCGCAGAGACCTCAGTCCCATCTCGGTGGGGTGGAGCAGGGTAGTGGGAGGTGAGAAGCGGTTTCCCCACTGGGCTCCCAGGGAAAAACAATGAGGAGACACTGCTCGGGGCGCCTAGACTGGCGCTGGGCCGGTGGCACGTGTGCCTGCACACAGCTCCACCAGGAAAGCAAGTTCTAGGCAGGACACAAGCCAGTCCAAAGCAAATACTAGCTCCTGGGTTTACTCAGCGCCTGCGGAGATGGGGAGATAACTTGAGACACCCATTCAGCTGTGCGCCTCCAGCTGCCAGGGCTGGGCGGGTCCTCTTGTTGAGACAAAGCTCATTGTTCTGGCTCTGTTTAGGATTCCTGGACTTCGTTTCCATTCTGGCTTTGTGGGAGTTTGGGCGTGCTTAAGAATTATCTCTTGCACATGGGCAGGATGCTGGTTACTCTTTAAAGTGGGCTTCTGGTTACTTCCTAGAGGGACTTTCCCAGGGAGGAATCTTGGACTTTCCTGGGGAATAATCGGGTGCTTTGGACACCTGGGTACAGTTCTTTCCTCTGCTCGTTCTACAAAAAGCCAGCACCTTTGGATTCCCTGCTGGGCAGGACACAGTGTCTTCCTGTATCACCCCTAGAGTGGAGAGGGAGGAACCTTCTGACTGTTCCATTTTAGAAACGTTTTAGACACTTTCGGTGTCCCCACGTTTTGGTGCAAAAGTTTGGAGAATTGGATTGTGTGGGTTTATTATTTAGTGTTATTTAAACAAAAGTCAAGTGGATCTGTAATTAAAGTAATACTGCTTTCTAATTACTCACTTTGAGAATTTGCTTTTTCAAAGGCACTGATAGAGCATCTGAGGTTGCTTCCAAGTAAATTTATTGTATCTGAGTTGTCCTTTTGTCTTTTTAGTGGGGCCTAAAACGTGGCAGAGACCTAGGGATGCCTGCTGGGCTACAGGACGACTCTTGTTATTCTGCTGCTGGTTCCCCAGGACAGTCTGGATTGTGGGGACTTCGCTCACCTGCTCTCTGAGCTCTCCAAAGGGAAGACAGCTCTGTGAAAGCAGGACCCAGAGTCCATTCAGGCTGGCTTGCTCTTCCTGGAGCAGGGGACAAGGCTGTAGTTTAGGGGCAGAGCCACTGAAGACCTCAGGCAGAGGAGACACAGGGCTGCAGGCTGTGTGCTGGGTCACGGGAGCTGCACCTGGGCCCTGCATCCGGGAGCGACTGCCTCACAGTGAGTGGGGGCACGTGGCTCTCCAGCAGGAGGACCTGGCATGGACACCGTGACCTTGCCTCACAGCTGGCGCCGGATTCTGCAGCTGGGCCACTGCAGCCCCTTTTCTGGACAATGAGTTCGTGATCTCGTTAAATTCTCTGAATGCAGGGAAAAGGTGCCTTACCCACTTTCTGTCGCTCTCTGGAAACAGCACACAGGAGCTCTGTGACCCACAGCAGCCGTCAGCCTCCGTCTTCCCTTGTCTTTGGGCCCCATCCCTGTTCCAACCCTGAGACTATTCCACAAGCCTGGCTGCAGGACGGGCCTCTGTCAGGAGAGGAGCAGCCCAGTGCAGGGAGCGGGAGGGCTGGAGCAGCGGGGCCACTTCCGTTCTCTGGCTGCAGCAGACTTGGCTCTCGTTCTGCACCACGTGTGTCCTTGTTTCTAGATTCCCTGTGAGCGGACGGACCCTGCAGCACCTAAACGGGCCGGGCCAGGTGCCAGGCTGATCAAGGGCCCCATTAGCCGAGCCTTTGTGGGGTGTCCTTCCGGCTGCTCTCCGGGGATCCCCAGAGGGCGGAAGCATCCTCCTTACGGTTCTAGAGGGTTCTAGAGGCCGGAGTCCTCGATGGAGTTGCTGACAGGCTGGACGGCGGTAGGGGTGCTTTCCGGGTGACACATGGCATCACTGCTCACTGTGTCCGTGTGGTGGGAGACAGGAAGCTGGGGCCTCGGGGGGAGGGTGCTGGCCCCATGCAAGGGAGGCGTTTTCATGGTGCAGCCCTCACCTCTCAGAAAGCCACCTGATTACATCATGCTGGGGCTGAGGTTTCAGCGTGGTGTTTTGGGGTGACACAGTGAGCTGCACTGGGGACCTGGGGGTGCTTGGTATTCAGATGTGTACAGCCCCGTGCTGGTAGGTGGCTTTGGTTTGTTTTTGGTGGGTTGTTTTTATTTTTTGTTTTGTTTTTTTGAGACAGGGTCTCACTATGTAGTTGAGGCTGACCTGGAAGTCATTATGTAGCCCAGGCTGGTCTTGCACTCACGGCGATCCTCCTGCCTCAGCCTTCCGAGTGCTGGGATTACAGGCGTGCGCCACCATGCCCGGCTGGTGGGTTGTTTTTGGTTTTTTTGTTTTGTTTTGTTTGTTTTGTTTTGTTTTGTTTTTTTGGACAGGGTCTTTCGGTGTAGCCCGTACTGGCCTGGAACTCTCAGGGACCCTCTTCCTGCTTCAGCTTCCTGCTGGGGTGGCAGGTGTGTGCTACTACCCCTGGCTGAACATGTTTGCAGCTAGTAAGGAGTGGAATGTGAAGTTTATTTGTAAAAAAGTTTTAAGGTAAAATACTAGACATCAAAAAAAGCATTGAGCTTGTGGTGGTTGAGGACAGCTCACCAGCAGTGTGGCTGGTCGGCCTCCTGTCCAGCCCTCCCTGACCCTGGCATCTGAGGGAGGAGGCTTTGGAGGGTGTGGTGGCATTGGGTCCTGTGGCCGTATTGCTAGCTGGACCCTGGCATGCCCTTGAACTGAAATTTTACACATTGGAATACAGTGTTATTCCAGGGCTCAGCAGGATGTTTTAATCTTATCCCTGTCCATCAACATCCAAAATTGGATTTAAGTTTTAAAAATTCATCATTCCATCTTGGTGTGGTGGCACACCTGTGTGATCCTGAACACTCTGGAAGGCTGAAGCAGGAGGGTTACAAATTTGAGCTCAGCCTATTTTCAGCCTAGGGAGACTGTCTCAAAATAAAAATTTTAAAAGGTTGAGGTTATATATAGTTTCAAGGAAGGCCTTGAGGTCAATCCATAGTACTGCAAAAAAAAAAAAGAAAAAAAAAAATCCGCATTCCAGCTAAGAGGCTCTTTTTACACAGTTGGGTGATTTCATTGTTCTGCTTTGACCTGCTCTCCAACTCTCCCAAAGTGAAAGGTCCTGCTCTTGTTATGTGAATTTTCTGCTCCAGGGAGCAACTGAGTTTACTTTTTCCCTAAGCAAACGTTGGAAAGAAGTAACCTTGGTGAGAAAGATTTCCCACATCTTCCTGAGACCAGGTTACTGGGCTCAGAAAGAGGCTGAGGAGTTTGTTCTTTGTCCAGGCCTGCAAGGCTTAGTGAGGGGCTTTGGTCTTTTTCAGAAGTCCCATCAAATGACCCTCATAGGGACCACAGGTCAGGAGCCTGGGGCCCCAGGCCTGCTGTGTCCACCCAGCGGCCCCACTGGGGTCTCAGCTCAGCGCCCGGACCCTCCACCCGCTTCCCTCCTGTATCTTCCTCCCAGGCCTGGTACAAGGACCCAGTCACACACACACCACCCTGCTGTTGCCCCCGGGCGCTCTGGTTTCCCCAGGGTTGCAGTAGGGGGTGTCCCAGGCCCTCTGCCTCTCACCGCCACTGTCCCCAGTCCCGTCCCTCCCTCCATCCTCTGTCTCCAGCTTCTCCAGTGGCCACTCTAGTGCATGGTGACCCACTCCCAGACCCCTCCTTGCGTGTGCAACGTCCTGGTGACCCCCATGATCAAGCCCTCATCATTCAGAGCTAAGTCCGCAGTAGAGGCCAATCCAAAGACGTCTTCAGAGATGTTAAATCCATGCATTCACCCGTGCGTCCTCCAGGAGGAGACAGTGAGTTCTTCCACTCAGAGCTCAGTGTGATCGCCCATTGCAGTTCTAATTTTTACAACTGATAATTCATTTTTGTTTTTGAGAGGATCTCTCTGTGGAGCCCACGTTGGCCTCAGACTCGCAGCAGTCCTCCTGCCTCAGCCTGCTGAGTGCTGGGATGACGGACACGTGCCACCGCGTCCAGCTCTCAATAATTTATTTTTAAACCACTTGTGACAGCACACACCTGTCATCCCCGTACCCTGGGAGGCTGACGCAAGAGGATCACAAGGTTAAGCCCAACCGAGGTAACTTAGTGACTTAGCAAGACCCTGACTCCACATTAAAAAAGGACTGGGGATGTAGCTCAGAGGAAAACTGTATTTCTCCTCTGTGAGATTTCTCCTCTGGAGTGGAGCAGAGGCTGAGGCCTTCAGGCTTTACCGTGGGTGCCATCCTCCTGGACTGCAAGCTCATTAGAGTGGTGTCCGCGGCTGTCACTCAGCCTCTGTTGTGAGCAGTCAGGCAGAAACTCTCCATGCTGATGAGAACTGTAAAAGCAAGGGTCACTCTGCAGTCAGCCTCCAAAGGACTTTCACCAGTGGGACCCAAACATGAATGGAAATCTTATGTAATGTGTAAAGATGCTCAGAATACTTCTTTTTTAAAATCCATATCATCAAGAGAAAATAGTGATGAAAAGTCACGGAGAAGTGAGTTCACCTCTAAAATGTCTTGCTTGCAGAGGAAAATGTGCAAGTGGCCTTCTGTCTCCTTGGTGAGAAGAAGGTCCTCAAATGCCAAAACAAACAAGGAGGCCCCCGGAAAGCACCAAGTACAGGTGTCCTAGCTGTCATAGCTGACCAGTACCTTCTGTGTGGTCACATTTTCAGTCCACAAGCAAAATTGCATGTGGTTTTTAAGCCAAATAGCATGGACTTGTGATGTTGAACTTGATGGTCAATCATCTGTAATTTTTTCCTTACTTAAAAGTAAATTAAAACATTTTGTAAATGTTGAAAAAGCAAGATTATTTTATTTTAGAAGTCAGCATTATTAGAGATTATAGTTCGATGGTCTTTAAAATGAAGTCTTAACTCATGATATTTTTCTCCATAGAAATCTTTTCATGGTTAAGCGTTGTGCCACGGCCCTTGTGTCACTCTGCAGGGGACGACAATAAAATGGGGACCAGCTCTTCTTTTTTTGTCTGGGCTCTAGGCTTTTATTATTCCACAGCTCTGAGAAGAATTATGGTTGTGATCTTGAATATAAACCTGTGCTTTCATCCTTCTTCTTCAACTGCAAAGCTTTGTTTTTTCCAGTAGATTTTGTGGTTCCATCGAGATTTTATTTATTTTGAATTCTAAACGTCAGATTTATTTGAAGAAAACAAAACAAAAATCCCACAACCCAAAGGATGGGATTTTACATCTCAAGACATCTCCCATGTAGTAAGTCTACAGATTACAAGTCATTTTCATACAAGATATTTTTGTACAGATTTTACATGGATTCAGGAGTGGGACATAAAGCAATCCCCGTTTCTGTTTAGTGGGGGCACAGAAGGAGAGTGGGACAAAATAGCTTTTTTGGACGCAACTGTTTGGAAGGCGAGCAGACATGAAGAGGGCAGACTCTACCTTTTCATTATCTACAGCCATTGGTTTAAAAAGCAAACCCGTTCAATTCAGGGCATGTCTAAAAGCTCACTTCCTAGCCACGAGCCAACCCCACCAATGGAGGGTAATTCTCCGGGTATAGCTTCAGTCCACTGGTGCAGCTCGCACACACACACCCCCTGCAGGGCTGGAGAGGCTCTAACCTAGGACCATGGGAGAAAAGCCTGTAAATAAGAGAGCAGTCTACATTTGTGGGCAGCAATGCAGCCCACAGTGGGGACAAACCTCATCGACCAAGCCAACCCCAAAATAAAGGTGCACATAAAAGTAAGCTATTGTGTTGCGGGAGAAACCAGGACCTTGTTAAATAGATCTTTCATCATTATTTTTTCTCTCAAGGGAAGCTAACAACCATACTCCCTCCCCCAAGCAAAAAACCACACTGATGTAGGCCACATTATAAACCCAAGCATTGGTGTGGGATTTCACGGAAGACGTGTAAAGAAAAAAAAAAATACCCCACAATCAAAGTTACAAGAAAACCTTCCAGTGTAACTGTCCCTGATCCATACTTATTCATCACAAAGATCAATCTAGTTTTCTGATCTAGAGAAGGGACCAGAGCAGCAGGAGCGGGAATGGATGGAGGGAAGGAATGAGAATCAAGACATCAAAGAGCCAATTTGTTTGAGAAAAGCATTGATTCATCATGTTACAGCATCCAGTGGCTGACATATAAAATGCGTATGAGGTCATTTTGTGACTTATCTAGAAACTAGTCTTTGGGAGGTGAGAGTAGCATGAGAGATGGCTAAGACTCTGGCATTATTATTTTGGTTGAGACAGGATATCACTATGTAGTCCAGGCTGGCTTCAAACTCATGGAGATCCTCCTGCCTCAGCCTCCCGGGCACTGGGATTACAGGTGTGCACCACCACAGCCAGCCCTAAGAGTCTGAATTTGTTAAAGCTTCAGGGTTTCCAAAAAAAAAAAAAAAAAGGGAATATATTTCAACTTTCAGAAAGGATAAGAGAAAGGGCAAAACCAGGACGTAAGACTGGGAATTCCCATGACCCTTAAATGTGTTTACCATTCACGTGTTTACTGGAGCTCATACCATTTCCCCCTACTGCCTAGTGTGAAATAACGCATCACATCCCCACGGCTTCTTTTCCAAGCGTGATTTCCCCCATTATTTTGGTCCCAACCAGTCCTATTCCATAGTAGCCTGTGGACACACTCCCAGCTATCCTCCTGGGGGGGGGGGTAAGAAAACAAAGGCTTTTCCCCTAAGATGGCCCCAACAATCAGACTTAAAATAAGAGGCAGGGCTGACAGCAATCCTTGAGGCAAACAATTTGAGAGACTAAACCTGCCTTTCCAAGGGTGGAAAATTCATTCAGATAATGCTTGAGAATTCATACCTGCCACCATGGGGTAAGAATGAAAGGGCAGAAATCTCGCCGCTCCTTGTCCGTCCCTTGTGGCCCAACAATTCCAGACATGGCGGCCCTGTCACTGCCGTTTGTGCTAAATAGAGGACCTGGGTGTGAATCACGGTGCCCTAAGAGCAGGACTTTTCCACTGAGAAGCTGCAGTCTCTGGGTCTGGCTCTACCATCCATTCTCCCGCTACTTCAGTCCTTTAAAAGCTGTGGCAGCATGCAAAAGAAGTTGGTTTTTTTTTGAAAAAAGTTAAGAAAGGTCTCCAGGAGAATGGTGAGTTTTATTTTCGCCTCGTCTGGATAGAGGTTTGATTTGCGTCTGAATGTTCCAGGGTGGAGACAGCACTGGCTGTTGAGGTCTGCCCTGCGTGGTCTTCTTGATTTCTTCATCTTCATCTTTACTGTCCACGGAAAGAGCAGCATCCTTGCTTGCAGAATCGAACTTGGAGGCTGGATTTTCCTCAGGTTTCTCTGGCTCGGGTGCAGGTCCAGAGCCTTGCTGCCTTTTGCCATCTGTCTGACTCCTTCCAGTGGTCTTTGTTCCCCCCATCTCCTGCACCACGGCTGGAGCTCCCAGTTTGGCCTCCTTGGACCCTCATCCCATCTGTTTTATTTTCATCTTTCCTTGCCGGTCCTTCCTCAGAAGCCTGAGCTGGAGCCACTTTCCCCCACCGCACTTGTAGGGGATTGCTGCTCTGTGTCTGAGCTCTGAGATGGAGCAGGAGGGTTAGAACTTCGCTTCACCCGTGCATTCTCCTTTGGTGAAGGGGCTGGCATTACGTTTAGAGGCTGACCAGGTTTGGGAGGCTTAGAAGTTGGAGAGTGACGGTCTTTCTCCTTATTGAGTGTTTGTTTCATTTTCTGGAGACTTCTTGCTGTCTCTCCTTCAGACATCCTGGTCTGACTTACTTCTGCCAGAAGGTGCTGAGGTCCCGGTCTGTGATGCTTCACTTCCTGTCCTTGGCCTTTCCCGTCGTTCTAGTTTTGGCTCGTCCAACTGACGCTGCAGTTTCTCCTGCTCCCTCTGTATCCGTTCTCGCCTTCTCTTTCTCTAGCAGCTGTGACAACAGGCTTTGCTCCTCCAAAGATAGAAGCCACTCGACAGGACTGGGAGGTGCTGGCAGGGGAATCATCCTCCTGAGGAGTACTCCGAGGCTTTGGGTTCAGTTTGGGTCTTTGGGGGGCCTCTGTTATCACGCCTGTAATCGTCCCGGGAGCAATCATCCCTGGAGCCTCAGGCCCTATCGTCCCGTCTGTCATAGCGGTCTCCTCCTCCTCTGTAGTTGCCATCTCTAGTACCCACTGCCTTCTCTGGACTCGTGGCCTTTACATAGTCTCTGCTGCCTCGGTCATCATAGCGATCTCAGCCCCCACATCGACCCATATCCCGGCATGGGCCATCCCGATACCCATCCTGATACCGGCCTGAATCAAAACGATCTCGATACTTGTCTCCAAAGCTGTCATCGCCTCTTCTAGGCGGGGAGTCATCAAAGCTGTCTGTAGCAGGACGGGACCTCCAGTCTGTGTCTGTTTTGTCAAAATCTTGATTTCTGTCTCGCCCAAAGGAACAATCATCTCTGCCTTTATCCTGTGCTTGATCAGCAACAGCCACTCGAATTCTTCTCTTACCTAGAAACTCTTCATCGAGACTGAGCCGAGTGGTTGAAACGTCTCCTTCCAGATCATCCGTTTCATCAGCCCAGCTGACTGGTTTGGGGACCTAGGTGGTTCCTCCACCAGTCCCTCCATCCTCAGCCAGAAAGTCTGTTAGGGAGACAGTCTTCCCCTTCTTAAATTCTTTTTTTTTTTTTTTT